CGCGCCTTCAACCCTTGCGTTCGTCGACTCGGCAGAGTCATTTTAGAAGGATTCACTATGTTCGCTATGCGGACGACTTCCTGATTGGGTCATAGGACCTAGAGCACTAGCCGATAGAATACGAAGTCTAGCGGCATGATTTCTCGAAGTAAGGGTATTTTTTTTGCTATTCTATTCTTGTATCAATTACTTTATGAAACCTAACAAGTCAATAATATCGTGGACCACTGGGAAATGCCGGTTCCAAGACCTTCAAGCAGGGGACGTCCTCCGAAGCCGAAGTTGCAGTACTGAAGGAGGATAAATGATTCACTCGAGAGGGAACTAATGCAGACCGCTCCACAGGTTGTCGCCCACTACGAGAAGTTGTTGCAGAAAGGAAAGCGCCAGATTGAATGAACTTCTCAGAGGACTAGCGAAGTATGGAGGAGGGAATGCGAGGCATAATGCCTCGATAAGCCCTACTGGGCCCCTATTTGCAAAAGTGTCGGCCGCCCTAAGTGAAGGCAGGCTCGACAAACGACAAGAGGCCTATTTTGGACTACTTTGCAACTGGGGGAAAATTCAGGCAGTTGCGTAGCGCCAGTTGGTTGAAAGTGCCCAGCCCCTGACCTCCTTTCTCAAATGCATCTAAGTCAGGCCCTGGGCGAGATACGCGGCATGGACCCATCTTAGGCTGCGGGCAGTTGGGCGCGGGTAACTGTCACAGGCCTTGGGCCTGATCCATTTGGTCTGGGGCTCAGCCTCTCTGGGCCTACCGGAAGCTTTTGGGCAGGGGCCCAGCGCAACCAGGCTTCACGCAAGGCAGGAAGGCCACTACCATTTAGGAGAGAGCCTGCACATGCACAACATTCGGGCACTAGCTACATGTTGCGCTAACGCTGGCCAACGCTCACACGCTCACGGGCGAGCCATAGCCGAGCTGCGCTGCTGTATGCTGGATGGGGGGCATGGTGGCCGTTGGGTGCATGTGGCATCTGTGAGTTGGGGAACGAGGTTGTGAGTGATACGAGAGACATACCTGGTTCTTGAAGCGTATGGCATTGGCCGAGATCGGCTCGTACTTCGGGGAGCCGTTGACGTCATCGGTGGCAGTGTAGATTAGGCTAGATAGGGTCTGCCATTTGTAGTCTGGGCGCCAAGGGCCAGATAGGATATTAACATTAGTTCTTCGTTGATGATGATGAGACTATTCCAGCATTGTCAATTATGAGCTTTTGTTGTGTTCTTATTTGGTGGAACTCGTGATGCAATTTTGCTATTGGTTCGAGGTCACAACTATCTGTTCTCATCTATATGATGCTGTTCGATTTCTGAAGTTCGCTATCGCTCATTTTCCTTGCAATTTGGTATCAGAGCTGCGGTACGGTGCGCTAATCTGGCGCTTGTCTTCTGCCTTTGTGGTACATGCACACGGTCTGCTGGGCGAGCGATCGTGGGAGGTGTGTAGTGAGGAGGGTGGAGACAAGTGAGGCGACCTAGGAAATGAGGGGTATCGCCAGGAAGGCTACTAAGTGGTGAATATTGGGTGTTCTTAGTGTGATGAGAACTATTTGATGTGTGATTGATGCTGAGGTGGAACACCTGTGCAATGCTGGTTGTGCCGAAGCAGCGATTGGTCATCACAATCAACATCGGGTCATCTGGTGAGAATATTTGTGGTTGGGGGCAGCTATTTTGAGGTACGTTGCACCTAACCTTATCTACCCTCTGCGACACTTCTTACCGTGAGGATGTGTGTTCTGTCTTGAGAGTCCTCTCATGTGAGGAGTCGTGTGCGCTCAACCCAAAGAGTCGTCAACCTTCACGTGGAGCATCTGGAAGGAGAGGGTGGTGTTATCTGAAGGGCCCTGGACGAAGCATTGGGTCACAGTCACCATGCCAACCCACCGACACAGATGCTTTGCTGCTTTGTCCTTTGTCTGCTCGCTGCGCTATAGAAGGGGTTCTCAGGGGCAGGGCAGCCCTATGGGGAAGACGACACCGGACGTCTATAAATAAGTACCGGCGGGGACCTTCCATTGCCTGTGATCGTCGTCCTATTTGCGACGTTAAATAATTCTTGAGGACTTCGGGGGCCGTCCATAAAAAACGCCTCCTGATCATCCAATCGGTCGGTGTAAGGCTCGCTGCACGTGAGGATAAATACGGTGCAGGGCTGGCCAGCTCAGCAGGATTCGGGGCACAGGGGTGGGCCGTGTGCACACCTTCAGACATGCACGCTATTCTTGATTGCTCAGGGACGTTGACGACAAGAGACATTTAGGAAGAACTGAGGGAGGGGTAGATTCCAAGTGATAAGTTCGGGCAAGATTCCATTCTGCAAACAGACCCAACAAATGATTCTATTTTTATTTTGATTAGTTAGATATACAACCATTAACATCTGACAGACAACATAGTTTAGAACTGTTCTTTGTTTATTGTGCTTTCCGTTTGCGAACTAGTCAAAGTCAAAATAGTTTCGTTTGTAGGAATGTGAACTTACTTGTTGGACTCAAATGTATGTACTTTGATGCAACCACCGATTAATTATTTTAATTGTTATAAATCGGTATGTGCACTACGCTGAGGTAGGCATCAAAGAGTGACGTAGTGCAGAATGTGTACAGTTATGTAGCTTATGAGCGACAGGGATACCACTAGTCAGGCCCTGTTGGGCGATGTACATGTAAAACCGAGGATCTGCAATGTGATGAAAACGACTGAATGGACAATGCAGTGCAAGTGAAATCTCAACAAACAGTGTACATTTGGATACATACGAAAATGGTGCTTTATTGGGATGCATGAACAGTGAACAAAGCCCCCGTCTGTGTGTGTGTGTGTGTGTTTGTGTGTGTGTGTGTGTGTGTGTCTGTGACACTGTGTGTTTCAGATTTTCCCCACAGCAACCCCAATTCCACCTAGGTGAATAGAGTCAGAATGAAAGCAGTCTTTGTCCTATTGCAGACAATGAGAGCATTTGAGATATCCAACATATTAAAGCAGTTTTATAATTAGACAGTTTTTTTATTGTCCTTGGGGTACCCCTTTCATTGTTCTTGCAGCTCCCCTTTTAGTGTGCCTCTTACGCACAAGGCTGCCCACTTTGACTGTGTGTGTGTGTCTGTGCAATGCAATGTCTGCCTCACAGACACACACATACACACAGACACACACACACACACACACACACACACACAACCTTCTGATGAGTCAGTGAAAGTCCGAAGAAACAGGCTGGTACAGTCATGCTTTTTCTGAGTGTATAGCGAATATGACAACACACACACACACACACACACACACACACACACACACACACACACACACACAAACAGACAGACAGACAGACAGACAGACAGACAGACACACATAGACA